GATACAAGAATCAATATGCAAGAACAAGGCAATGGTTGTTGAGTGTTTGGGTGAAAGCCTGCAGGGCTTTTCCAGACTGAAACAGGGTCCAAGCCTAGGTATCAATGGTGAGCTGTGTTCCTGAAAGTTAGGAGGACTATGACGCATGCAGCGAAGCTTGATGTCCTGGGAGAGAAAAGGAGTTGTACTCACTTTGAGATGTGGTTTAGCGTACTGGTGGCATGGTGTAACGCGTAAATGGTTCTAGCGCAGGCGATGATTGGATATAAGGCGCCATGATCTTTGCGTGATCTTGAAGATATAAGGTGAAAGCTTCGCTTGACCACCTTCCCATTGTCTTGATGATGTTGAATGGCACTCCTCGCAGGAGGTATTCTAGGGTTCCACCGATTCATAAACCGTGACCTTTGAGGTCAGAGAGGCCCGCTGCAGTTGTGGCAAGCGTCATCTTCTTCATGAACTCTGTTTTTGAGAGAGGGCGTAGGCCGTTCTCGTGCTTCCATGCAAAAAGGTGCACCCCGGGCTCAGCTGCGTTGATTCTGATGTGGTTCTCCATGGCCATTTTGGGGTCTGTTGGGCTGTTTTGAGCTGCCCAGTATGTTTCTTCGCCTGCTAATTTGGAGGATTTCGTGCTAGGAAGTGAGAATTTGGTGATTGGCAGGCCATTGTGGTCCATTGATTCTACCATTCCTGCTCTCGTTATATGTTTTTTTGGGTTGAAACCTTTGACCATTTTAACGGTGAACTCTCCCAGTCTTGCTATACAGTAGAAAGTTGTGGTCATGCAAGCGAAAACCACCGCGTCAAGTGGCTTGTTTAGGTCTAGGTGGTTGCAGATAGAGGAAAGGAAATCTGGAGTGATGGGTTGTCTCTTGGGTCGCTTAGAGGATGAGGGAGCGAGTGTGGTAGCTCCATCCAGCATCGCTTTGAGTTCGCCTGGTCGCACCAGCCAGAGTTCGCTGTGGAGCAGGTGCCAAGCCTTGATGCCGGCTGCATAGTTGGTTAGCACTGATCCGGAGTACGCGCCTGCACAGCTGGATAGGAATTCAAGGAGGAGACTGAAGCTGACCGGGCAGCGTTTGTTCTCTTCTATGTTGTTGAGGTCACAGTAAATGTGGAAAACTAACAAACCTGCTCCATAGGTTTCTTTCGTTGATTGTGCCCATGCGGAGCCCATAACTTCCAGGATGCGGTTCAACCGTTCATCTGAGACTTCATGAGTGTTGGGGTCTCCTGCTGTGGCCGCTAACTGTCTGGAGCTGTTTCCTGCAGGGACCCAGAGTCTCAGCCGGTCGCGCGCTAGGTAATGGGGTCGGAGGTTGGATGGATGAGGGGTGAGAGTCGGTTTGTAGTTCTGTGGGGTGGGTGTGGATGGTGCAGGGAGCTCGGTTAGTGGCGCTCTGAAACGGGTGCACCTCGTGTAGTCACTCGTCTCTGAGCGTGCGGTTGATGAGTTCTTCTTCTTCTGTCCGATCGGTTTTGTTCCGTTCTGCTGCCTGTTGTCTGAGGAGGGCGCGGTTGATGAGTTTAGCTGCAGGAACAGAGTATTTCCTGTCTTGCAGCAGTCGTAACTCTGTGGGAGAGAGTGGTAGTGTTGCGTCGATGATGAACTGGCTAAGTTCGATGGGAAGGTCGATGGGAGGGAGAAGAAGGTGGGTGGGTCTGAGTATGCCCCTGGACGGGTCATCTGTGGGATTGAACTTGCTCAGGACATAGGTTGTTGTAATGTCGAGACAGTTGGGTAGATGGTGTAGGAAATGGTGGATCCTCTGAAAAACTCCGTTGACAGCTCTGTTGCGGTGTCTGTGCTTCCACCAGCCTTCCACGACGCCGGTGTTGTCTCCATGGACGAGAACATTGTTGCTAATGCCTGGGAGAGAGGCAAGGGCATAGATAAGTAGCTCGAAGCCAATGGCTTTGGCCCAACCAATGTCTCGTTTTCCATTGAGAGTTTTCCAACCCGGTATTAACCTCCAGGCTCTCCAGTGCTCACCGACAACAATGCCTATCCTGATGCCCGAGCTTGCGTCCAAGAAAGCGAGCGGGTTTTGGAGTCTGGTAGTCGGGTAGATGTCCCATGCTACTCCTCCTGATTGAAGTAGGTCCGTCCACCAGTCCAAGTCTTTGCTTATGGTTTTTCCCGCTCTGTGCGGCAGAAAAGGGTTAGCTCCGCTGGTTGAGAGCATGTCCTTGAGGCTCGTGAGGTAAGCTCGTCCTCGAGGCGCCGCTGAACATGCGTGGAGTAATTTACCGTACAGCTCTTGTACGTCCTGGAGAATGTGCATGTGTCTCTTTCTCCATTTGTGAATGGCTGCGAGGTATTTGTCCACTTTAGTGGGACTCAAAGCTACTATCATCTGTTTCAAGTCCCACGTGAAGCCTATGTAAACGGTGGAGGTACTGAAAAGCTGATCTTTCAAGCGCTCCCAAACAATGCCTAAGAGATCAGATAGATCATCTAAGTCTTGAAAACAAAAGGTAAACAGGGTGTCGTGCGTTGAACAGTGTGAGCAATGTGATAAATCTATTAATGGTTTCGAGTGGTCTTTGCTAGACTCTTCCATTCTTCCTTTGATTGGGCAGAACTCGCCAAACCATAGCCTTCCGCCCAACTGTCTCAAGCTGGCTTCTGCGAACTCTTTGTGCCATAATGCCCTGCTGTCATTGTAGCTTTGGAGGAACTCATGCCTTATCCTGAAAAATATATGGTCGTCTACCCACTTGTCTAGCAGTCCAATTCCTCGGTGACGGAAAATTTTGGTTCCGGCGTCTGCTATGTGCCCATAAACTCCCGCTGATGGAGTGGCGCCGAACGCCGTGCAAGTGTCTATGCAAAACTGGGTGTTAGAGATTCAGATCATGCCTGCTGGCCACTGCGATGGGTGCAGCGGGACTGTTAGATATGCCTCTGCTATATCCTGGGTGGCGGCTTCTGAGCCTGGGGGGAGGGTAGATATTAAATGATACAGTGGCTCAAAAAACTGTCCACATGTTTGTGCTATTTTCACTATTTACATTATTGTATATGAATGAACAGGTAGACTGGGGATATGCCAGTGGGGTACTCTGTAGTACTCCTTTGGGGCATGAATTTGAGCCCTTGCCCGTGGGAAATTATGGTAATGTGGTGGCACTATAAGCCTTACAAAATGATGACTCATGTGGACAGTTTTTTGACCCTAGATTAAAATTATATAAATCATTAGTTATGACACCATAAAGTCATGCCACTATTAAATAAATTATGAAGTGGTGTCATTATGACATTATTAAACCTATCTCTAAGTATATAATGAAGTGTGTCCCATATATCATAGTCATAATTACCATGAAAACCATCTCCTCTGCTCAAAGGGATAATATCCTTTCTCTGTCTACTACTGGCCTCTCTACTCGTCAAATAGCCTCTAGAACTGGTTTATGTAAGTCTACTGTAGCTAACCTCATCAAAGAATGTCACCCAGACAAGGAAAACTCCAGTGGAGGTCGTCCATCCAAACTCACCTCTACTGATAGGAGGGTTATTATTTAACATATCACCACAGGAAAGGCTGATAATGGAGGATATCCATATACTGCTCAGCATCCATCCTCCCCTCAACTTCTGCAAGCATTCTCACACCAGAAGTTCCACACCATACATCCCCATACCATTAAAGAACCTCCTCCAAACTTGAGAGTTCCATTAATCTCTCTGTCTGTAAGAGGGCCCCCCTTCTTTTTCCACACATGTACCTTCCCATCTGACCCAATTCTATTGATTTTAGTCTCATCTGACCATATGGCCTGCTTCCAGTCCTCTACAGTCCAGTTTTGATGAGCTAGGGCAAAGGCTAGTCTTCTCTTCCTATGAGTGATGGAAAGAAGAGGCTTTTTCTTCTTTGTTATGACCCTAAGATTGGCTTCCTTGAGGACATTCCTCACTGTTTGTGAAGAAACTGGAGTAGGAATGATGGAATTAATATGATGAGTGACTTGGACGGCATTATCAGCCTTTCCTGTGGTGATATGTTAAATAATAACCCTCCTATCAGTAGAGGTGAGTTTGGATGGACGACCTCCACTGGAGTTTTCCTTGTCTGGGTGACATTCTTTGATGAGGTTAGCTACAGTAGACTTACATAAACCAGTTCTAGAGGCTATTTGATGAGTAGAGAGGCCAGTAGTAGACAGAGAAAGGATATTATCCCTTTGAGCAGAGGAGATGGTTTTCATGGTGATTATGACTATGATATATGGGACACACTTCATTATATACTTAGAGATAGGTTTAATAATGTCATAATGACACCACTTCATAATTTATTTAATAGTGGCATGACTTTATGGTGTCATAACTAATGATTTATATAATTTTAATCTAGGGTCAAAAAACTGTCCACATGAGTCATCATTTTGTAAGGCTTATAGTGCCACCACATTACCATAATTTCCCACGGGCAAGGGCTCAAATTCATGCCCCAAAGGAGTACTACAGAGTACCCCACTGGCATATCCCCAGTCTACCTGTTCATTCATATACAATAATGTAAATAGTGAAAATAGCACAAACATGTGGACAGTTTTTTGAGCCACTGTATATTATTGAGAATTTTCCCCAGGTTGTTGGGAAATCGTTGGCATCTATACACGAATTAACTGACAGGTTAGGGTAGAGCGTACTTGGAGAATGTGGGAAGGAGAAATTTTGTATTAACCGGAATTTCCCTGGTTTCCCGGGTTTTGGAATGATAGCCAAAGGGGATGACTGGAAAGGTCCAATTAGACGCTCTAGGACATTCACTTCGAAGGGTCCAATGTATCTCCCTTTGTCGATCTCTTTTTGGATGATGGAGTGAAACTCGGCTTCGAATTCGACAATTGAGGCTTTATTAGGTGGGGTTTGTACATGAGTGATAGGAGGGAAATCTATTTTGAAACTGGTACAGAGACCTTCAGGTATCTTAGCAAAGCGTTCAGGGAGACTGAGCTGCTTTAACTCGTGCGTCCAGGCTTCTACTTTATACGGCGTTAGTGGGTTCTGCCTTCTGTGCTCGAGGGCACTTCTGGGCTCCATGGGACGAGGCTCCACATCCTGAGCAGATGTGTCGCGCATCGTGGCAGGGTACCATGCAGCCTTCTTCGCGCTGCCAAGCGGTACAAAGCTGCTTTCTGTCTTTTGTCCATAGGCCTTTGCGGATGCGCTCCATGAATGATTCGTGTTGCTTGTCCCGTGTGTGGGTGGCCACGCACTCGATGGTTCTGTGTGGGTTATGTCCCAGGCACACTGCGCAGCATGGGAGGGGCCTGGAGGTGAGAGGAGTACGATCAGTGCATACCTTTTTGTTACTGCCCATTGATTCTTCGTTAGGCGGCAAAGCACGCTTCTGGGGTGCATGCCCTTGTTGCATTGACGCTTGGTTTTGTGGGCGCAGGGTATCTGAACTTCTGGCTGTGTAAGCTGCCGCTGCTTGCTGGGTTATTGTGGATGTGTCGTGTCGTGTGATGCGAAGAGTGCGCGGGAGGATGTTCAAGCATCAAAAAAGGGGGGGTTGTTTGGTTGTGATAACCGAAGCGATTGAAATGAAATGATTTCGTTTTTTTGGCACATGATTGGCCACTGCCAAAAGGTTGCAATAACCCGAGGCGTAGCAGTGCATGATGCACGAGTAAAGGTTTTTTTGTCGGCGCGCGATTGGCCGACAATCGAAGAAGTTTTTAATAAATATTGTAACGGGGTGGGGTAGAACGAAAGAGGAAACACGAGGGTGTGATGAGCGTGCAAACTTTGCGATAGTGTTTAAGGAGATTAGTTTGACTGACCTGGACTGCGGCTGCTGTGTCTTTGTCTCATTTCTCATTGAATAGATCCTCTCTCGCTTCGAATAGAAGATCTTGGTTGATCTCCTCTAAACTCCAACCTTGTGCGGTTCCTACTGTGAGGTGCCAGCAGTGTCGTTGTTGCGACTGGTAGAGTAGCAAAGCTTTTTGCTTGAGCGCGTCCGGTGCGTGATGCCAGCGGTGGGCTTGAAGGGCCGTCCAGAATTGGATGTGCATGTTGACTCTGTTGTTTGGCCAGTTGTGTAGCTTCATGAATGAGACTATGCACGGGGCCGCTTCATTAAATTCTTCCCAGGTGAGATTTTCATCTTTGGTGATGGGGGCCATCTTGGGATCCTTGACCGCTGCAGCGGGAACCCATGAATGGACTCCGTCTGATGCTGGTAGCATTACTAGTGCGTTGGGTTCAGCGATTAAGGCTGATATCTTGGCCTCGTCGAGGCCTCTGTTGGTGAAGTAGTGTAACTTGCAGTAATCTCCTGCTTTCAATCTCCTGGTCACATATTGCGCCGGGAGGATGGTAGGGTCGGAAGGGACCTTTCCGCGTTTGATAGGCATGTACTTGCTCTTGTTTTTCTTCTTGTCTTCTAGCCGCACTGCTTCTTCTTCGTCTTTGAGGTCCTGTTGCCTCTGGGCTTCGTCTTCTTCGGCTCGCTGGCGGGCCTCTTCTAGATGTTGTTGTCTAGCTGTCCAGCGCACCTTCTCGGTGTTATTGTTAAAATTCCATAACGCTGTTAAGGATCAGGTGACCTGTTGTTCGGATAAACCTTCATCTATTAGTTGTTGGCGCTCTCCTTGGAACTCTGGTAGAGTATAGTCTGGTCTAATTGCATTGTTGGGGTCCATACTGGCTAAGTAGGGTTTGAAAAGAAGCAAAAGACGTAGATACTAGACGTTGGACTGAGACTAATAGACAACTGCAAGGTGGTCAGAAGCAAGAGGCTTTCTGCGCCACCTCGCTTATTTGCGCATAGAAAACCACTTAAGCACCAAGAACTGGTAAGTACCACCGCATGTTTTCAGGGGGTATATTACTAGAAGCAGTTCTGCCCCAACACTACAGCTCCCGCAATGTGTATTACTTGGCGAGAACCACAGGCCAATCGATTGTGGTCCTGGCGAGCTGCGTAGTGCGTACCGTATGAATTGTTCTCTGAAAAGGGTCTCCCAGAGAACGCATAGGAAACCTTTCTCAGAGAACAATTCATGCATGTGCAGCGAGCGTCGAGTACACCAGTGAAGCATTTGAAGCTGCTGCTAAAGTTCTTTTTCCTCCGGTGGGGAGTCGTCTGTTATCCTTCGAGATAATGAGCTAGTCAGTGAGAGCTAGCCGCTATGATACACGTACCAAACTGAGCGTGATAGTGTGGGACGGGGAATTAGCTGAAGTGGATCCTCATAGGAGCGTGCGGCACATCAAAAGATGGCTTGTGGTATGGTTTTGTGGAGCGCTTCAACGTTGTCAAAGCGACCAACCGAGCCATAAGACAAGCTCCAGAGATAGGAAGAATGTGGCACTGCGAATGTTATATTTACAATATTGGGCTACGATATCTGGGCTGGGGTAATGCATAGGTGCCCATAGCTCTCAACTCGAAGCCACAAACAACGGTGCCACACATATGTGGAACTACGGCAAGCTTGTATCTACCGTAATTGGAGAACGTTGGAGGACGGAAGTCTATTTGTTTGTTTGTTGTTTGTTTTCAACATTTGTTTTGGATTGTTTGGAAGTGCCACTTGAATTCTCCTAGAGCCTGAGTATTGGAGACAAACATTAATACTAACCTTGCAGAACGATGACAACCCCTTACACGCCGACATCGTTCATCCAGATGACTCATAGCACTCCAGCAACGCCGACGCCAGCGCCGGCACCAACCCGCGGTCGTGGAACAGGTGCCAAACGCGGACGCAAGCCTCGCGGTGCATTCCCCAATGTGTCCACCGATTCCCCTCGCCCCCCAGCACAATCCGGGCCTAGCACCCCTACACCTGCAATGCGATTCACCCCGGCCCAATGGGCCACTCCCGGAGTCCCTGCAAGTGCCACTGCCACCGGCTCGACATCTACTGTGACTGTCCCTGCTGGGTCGAGTAGCGCTGCAATCGCTGGAGATGTGTCGATGGACAGTGGGGATGATGAACCTATGGCGACGCAGCCCCCGCCTGTTACTGCTGCCACTTCTTCGACAGATGCGATAACTCCACAGCCTGCGACCGCTGCGCGTCCCGCGGGTGCCCCAGACGAGGATGCAGAGGGTGAAGACGAGCTTTTGCCTGCAATGGCGGATGATGACTACTCTGCACAGTTGTCATGGCAGAGTGAGAGTAAAGATAATCTGAAGTAACTTGATGTATTTTGTTCGGTTTGACAATGTGTCGTGCTCATGATAATCTAGGGTTCTTATGGACAATTTCAGTCCGGGACAGTACGAACGCTTTGAAGCCTATCGACGTCACGCGCTACCGAAGCAGGCTATACGGAAGGTGCGGGTATATGATAACATGATATTGCAGTCTCATTTATGACGTCATGGATAGGTCATACAGCAAACGACGGGACAGCAGGTCTCTCAGCCCGTTGCGCAAATAGTAGCAGGTGTTGCAAAAGTCTTTGTTGGCGAGATCGTAGAAAAAGGTGCGCTTCTTAGTTATGCACCATATCTTATGATCTGTTCTCATTTATCTTGAACTTAGCTCGCCATGTCCAATCAAAGCGCAACGATACCGGCCCCCTTACACCAGACCACCTTCGTGAAGCGTATCGAATGTATCAGGCAGAGACCGGTCGTGTGGGGAGTGCACGGCCAACGCGAGGGAAGCGGCTGTTTGTCAGGTAGCGCGTGATGATCAGACTTGGCAGGTACCATTATATCATGAAGTGGCAACCTGGACATGAATTAGCACCGGGGGGCCACTTGTTAGCGTTCGATAGGCAAGATAGAAGTATATGGACATGATGGTGCAGGGCGTTAAAGTGATCTGATGCAGGCTGTACAAGCGCTATGATATTAGGTCATGATTTTGCCAAAAAGCCATACATGTTGCTTGCAGTCCACAAGTGCAATCTCTGATGCCAATGATTAGCTGTGTCCGATGGTGCTGTCAAGATCATGAAACTAGCCAAGACTACATTGACCGACGCTACCGGGAATTAAGTCGAACACGGCAGTCGCGATGAAGGATATGACTTGTCACGTGACGGCAGCAGTAGCTGTGGATACACAGCCTCGTGTGTAAGTGAGGTGAAGCTTGTAGTCCTCATCCATCTACTCCCAAGCTCAATTCCTACCAATGAAGAAACTATTCGGGCGGGACAAAGCAAAGCAGCAAAAGGTAACGTCGCATAGAGATGCTGATGTTGTCATCGACGATGTACGTCTCTGATCACTTTTGGCAACTTCATCTATGTCATAACTCGCAATATTGCTGACTCGAATTTTGATCTATATCCATAGGATGCACCACCTATGCGCCCCCCGCGCCCCTCAGAAGACCACCGTGACTGGGAGATGCTATCTGACCCCCCTGTCCCTTCTAGTCCGTATCCTCAGTTTGCAGTGCCTCCAACGATACCAAGTCGCTCGTCTTCTCTTGCTTCGCTCCCACCTATCGTATTACCCCCGCGTTCTAATAGCCCGTATAGCGCCACAGGTCACACTGCCCCCACCCCCAGACTAATAACCCAAACCCAACCCATACCGTGCGGAGAGACGGACGCAAGATTCAGAAGGCGCAGCCTGCACCTGCTGTACTCGGTATACTGAAGTCCCTTGATCCACACTTGGACCTCGCCCTTCAACATTCCCACTCACACCACGGCCATGAAGTATCAGACGATTACAGGGACAGGGCAGAGAAGAAGGAGAGGAAGAGTTTCTGGGACGGAATTATGCGTGACAGGGACAGGGACAAAGATAAAGACAGGGAGCGTGGACGTGATAAAGAGCGTGAAACTCGTGAGAAGGAAAAGGAACGAGAAAAGGAGAGGGAGCGAGAAAAGGACAAGGAACGCATTTGGCGCGAGGAGGATAACCCCTCAGAGCTTACGCGCATGATCGGTGCGTTCCTTCAGCCGATACCGTACATTTGATGTCGCGTGAACTGATATCGGCTGTAGGGTACCTTACAGCAACTTCATCGGAGGACTGGACCCTTGTGCTCGAGGTCTGCGAGCGCGCGTCTTCTAATGAAGCGAATGCAAAGGAGGCTATGAAAGCCCTCAGGAGAGAATTCAAGTGCGTTTCATAGCTAACGCTCAATTTTATACCACTGACAGGGTGCTTGGCGTACAGATATGCAGAACCCAAATCTCAATTATCTGCTGCAAGGGTAAGCATTACCCCCGTCTTGTTGCTTCATCTTGATCTCTCACCTTGGAAAATTCATACTCATCTGGTCTCCATCCAATTTGCGTTACCGTTCGCACAGTTATGGGCAATAATGCTCCGCAACGCCTCCGACATCTTTCTTACTCAGATCAGCTCCCGTAAATTCATTGACACCCTCGAGGACGTGCTCATAAGCTCAAGAACCAGCCCCGTCGTCAGAGAACGACTAATGGAGGTGCTTGCCGCTGCAGCGTTCATCACCAGTTCACGTATGTGTTTTTTTTATCTATCGCTGAATCCGTTCTCGACTCTTCGAACCTACCCCCTTGCTGGATATCTTTCGAACTATCGTTTACTCCATATACTTTCGGAAACCCGTCTTTATCGGTCTCATTCCATCAAAACCCACGTTTTTTTTAGTGTTACTGACTATCTTGCTTGTCCTTCTTCACAGGTCCTCACCCCTCACCCAAATCCGAACCATCGCCGTTTTCACTCAAAGATCGCGACCGTGATAGGGACGGTTTCCGTGCACTATGGACGCGATTGAAACCTGCTGACAAGCCCGATGTGGGCATTCCCTTCGACACAGAGGATGCTATGTTTAGCCCTCCCATCGTTCCAACGCGTCCGCCGATAGGGGAGGTCAGGTGCCTCGTTCTGGTTTATGACAGTACCCTGATCAATCCTCTTGCTTTATTTTTTTGCACACTTTTTGTCCTGGTGATCTATTAGCGGCCGTCAAGGAAGAGCCTCCATCAGCGTGGCGTTATTCCTCCTGAAGAGGACATGAAGCGTTTGTTCCAGGAATGCAAAATCGCAAAAGGAAATGCGAATGTCCTTTGCGAATTGCTTACATACACGAAACCGGAAGCAGATAGAAGGGAGCCTAATACCGGTACGTGTGATCTCTCAGTTACTTATGATCTCCATGTTGTCGATCTGCCACATCACCTTCGCGTGGCATTCATGACCCTTCTCTTACTAACTTCCACGCTGACAATCTCAATCTGACTAATTCATAGGAATTTTTGTCAAAATGCCGCGCGTCGCAAGAACTCATATATACCCAAATCCCATGGGCATCTGCAGGCGCTGAACGATCACGCCTTGACCGAGAAAGGAATGCAGAAGGAAACGGACGTACGAAATCGCAGCTTGACCTTCAATTCAGTTCTCCACCGAGTCGTGATTACCATGGCGGGGATGCGAAATTATATAATGCAGATGGAGAGGAGCAGACTGCGGAGGAGGAGCTTCTTGGCGCGTTGCTTGAAGCGAATGAGGCGCTGTTTGGGGCGATGAGGATGTATGATGATGCTATGCGGGTTGCGGAGGAGCGGGTGGCCGTTGAAATTAGTAGGAGGGATGTGAAGATGGACCGAAGAGTGAGTGTTTTTTCTATCTTTCTCTCCACCCGAGTTATTCAGTTTTCCTTGTCATTTTCCCGCTTCGTCGCTTTGTTTTCTTCCTGGCTGAGACTGACATTTCGTGTAGCACATCGAAAATGAGTACCTTGGAGAATCTCACCACGATTATGGTGGTTCCTCACGCACGCCATCACCGATGCCATCGCCACCTGGCTCGCCCCGTCCATCCCGATCTCCCTCCTGTTGTCCCATCACAAACTCATCCCCTTCCTCGGGTCCCTCCTGCGCTTTCTCCTGCCCATTCACACTACGGTTCACCACCGCAGTCTATGAGCACACCGACACTGCTCGCTCCGCCACCTCCGCCCATAGGACCTCGTTCGCCTGCATTCCCGTCACGCCCACCCTCGCCAGATAGGGGTGGTCTCGTACGTGCATCAAGGGGGAATTCGCTGGAAAGTATGGGTGGTGCTTTGGAACGGCTGCACATGGAGGATAACGATGTAGATGAAGAAGAGGTTACATCTCCCATACGACCAAGCGCGAAGGCGCTTGGGAAGAGGAGGGTCGTTGAGGAAGCCGAAGATGGTATGTTACGTTTTCATCTGTTGTTGCGTGGTTTCTAATGCGTGATGGATGTAGAACAATACGACTCGAGTGACTTGTACTACGAGCCGAGGCGCGAATCCGTTGCACTGGACTCAGATGAGGAAACACGCGGTGGGGATCATGCAAATGCCTTATGGGGAAGACCTACGCAATACGTGTATGACGCGGCTGCTGAGCGCACGGCGCAGCATCTGCGAGAAGGTAGAGTGAATGTAGCTGTGAATGGGGTGCATTAGGGTTCTTTTGATAATTGGCACTTGTGGTTCTGCTACTAATCTGTCTCGAGCTTCATTTTAAGTACTTGTGGTTAGAGAAGATGTCCATTTCATTCCTTCACATCATGTTCAACCAATTTGTATATTAGCTTCTGTAGTCAATCATCCAACCCTGCTATTTATGTTTTCTTTTGGAACTGTTTTCATTGATTACAAACAATTGCAATACCAGTGTAACACCCTGCTCTACGTTCTGCTCATTCGTATACAAAGTGGGCTCCGGCGTTTCAGCTCCAGACTTCTAAGTAACTGATGTGACTTTGTGAGTTTCAGATCTCTACACCGCATTGCAAACAACAATAGGCACAAACTCTAGCGTATATGGCATCCACATCAGCGTCCGCACTTGTGCAGGAGCTAGACGACGTACCCGACGTGCTCACATGGCTCAACGACACACTTACACCGCAGGACAACCATGTTCCGCTAGCTACTCTCGAGTCGCTGCTGGCAGACCTGCTGACAGCCACAGACCTTTCAGCAGTAACAACTTCCGCTGCACTCGAGCGCACAATCGACGAGGTGTCGCGCAGCGCTCCCCGTCTCACCTATGACCTGCATTTCATGCGCGATGGTGCCCTTTCCCTACATTCTGCTCTCGATACCGTCACCGCCCGCATTCCAGCTGGAACGGGGACTTCTGCTGCTCTCGACAAGTTGCAGACTCTTGACACTGCAAAACGACGGATGGAGGCCGTAAGGGATGTGCTGCGTGAGGCAGAGTCGTGGTCCAGCTTAGAGGCCGAGGTTACTGCATTGTTGGCGGAGCGTGCATATGACAAGGCTGCTGAGAGATTGAGCGAGGCTAGCAGGAGTATGCCTGTGTTTGCTGGAACCCCGGAATACGAGCCCCGCCGTGCGCTGATGGGGTCCCTCCAAAACCAACTCGAGGCTGCTCTCAGTTCTGCGTTGGTTGGCGCGATCAACTCGGGCGATACGGCGCTTTGCAGGAGTTTTTACGGCATATTTGCTAACATACAGAGGGGAGAGCGAGTTCAGGAACTATTACTTTGGCTCTCGGAGAGCAGGGGTTGGTTGCGTCGTGGCAGAGCGAAGTTCTGGAAGACACGGAACCGTTAGTGCCTGCGGTGCCGAAGCAGACGTTCAGTGCCTTCTGGGCAAGTTTTTTGCGCGAATTTCCTGCTTGTGGTCAATGCGGAGCGCACGTCTATTCCTGCCATCTTTCCTGATCCTCAAATCACGCTCTCGACGTTCATCACTTCCACTCTGTCCACCTTGCAGCCTTCGTGTCCGCAACGCCTTGCGTCCCTTTTCAACACCGCCGGTTCATCTGCTCTCAAGGATGTCATATCCATTTACAAAACGACAGAGGAGTTCGCGGCAAGCACAGACAAGATCATGGAGAAATACAGTTCTCCGTTATCCCTACAGACAATCCTTCGGATGGCCCTTTGCCTCCGAAGCACACACGCCGCCGCTCCATGCGTATGTCCATGTCCTGGCGCTCGAATTCAGCCACGAACTTCTCACGAGCGCAGCAGTCCACGCTCAATGATGCGCTTGACTGGGACCAAACACTCTTTCAGGCGTTTCTAGATTTCCAGGTTGAGTATGGCACACTGGAGCGGCGCCTCCTCTCTGATGAGCTATATTTTGCCTCCACACTCACTCCTAACAAAAATCCAAACGCGGACCGCGCCCGTCTTCTTCGCGAGTGCGCGGTTGATGTGTTTAGTGTCGCAGAGGAAAGCCTCGTACGCTGCATGGCATTCACGTATGGATATGCTGCTCCAGGACTCGTCTCCGCGTTGGACTTGTCTCTCTCGTCCTTGGTTGACTCTTGGACCCAATCCCTGACTGCAAATCTTTCTGCTCCTTCAAGTGCCCCGGCGGAATCTGAAGATGATCTCGCAGATCTGGATTATTCCCCGCAGGACTGGAGCAACATCCAACTCGTTTTACATCTCCTCGCGTCAACACGGGCCGTGCTTGACCGACTTGCGACCTTTGAAAGCAAGCTGCGAGCTGCACTCGTACAGATAGCTACGGCGTTTCCGACTGGCACAGCACGAAGGCGGGTTGTATACGCCTGGCGCAACCAAAGGTGCTGGTTTGCTCCTGGCGCGCAGTCCCCCTGAATAGTGCAGCTTTGCATGCTCTCTTATCCTCTGCGGAATCTCAGCCCCCCGTACCACTGCTCACCACAACACGTGCATCTATTGCATCCCTTGCCAGGGCCCTTCAATCGTCCCTCCAGCACACCCTTCTTGCCCCCTTGCACGCATATCTCTCATCCTATGCATCTCTTGCCCTCTGGGCAGCACCGGGTGATCCCAAGTCCATGCGCACGGCCAGTGACTTGCATGTGCCTGTGTTTTCGCTTTCCCCCAG